GATGTCTTGCTTTACGTCAAAATATAATTTGGATGGGCCAGTCTACATAATAGCACTATCATAATCGTGTATGAATAATCAACGCAGAACCATATACATGTATCTGGTATAATTTTAAAAGTAAACATACAACAGATAAAAACCTAAAAATTATAATATTTGTGGTTGATCGTATAGATCAAATTACTCAACGCTATTTCACTGGTAAGTGTAAGTGTTAGAATTATAATAAATATGCTCGAACTAAGTCATTTGATAATAACGACGATCGTTTGTTTTTATTTATTTTAGCCAAGTAGCTGGAAATATATTTGTATACTGGCAAGACTGTGTAATTATGGATTTGGACTTGAGCCAGGTGGTTTCCCCTAATTACGGGGTGCTGGACAGTTTTGAGGACACTTATGGACATTTATTGAACCACAGACCTCATCATGTCGGCGACTACACTCTCAATCCCTTAGTCCTGAGTATTTTGGATACACTACCGCAAAGCATGCCGGAATCATCGTTCAATGAAATTTCGCCACCCGACAGGGTTGCTGGTTTGTCTGATATTTTAGTCGATCGAACTGATCACATTCCAGATCTTATGCAAATGGAAATGTCGTCATTTTTACCGGCCGCGTTCCATGACGACGTAATGAGTGACGATCCATTGTACAGTGCGAGGCATACAGACTTATGCCGAGATCTCGACTCTGAAGATGTTTCTATGTCAACACTGACTAAAACGATCAATTCATTGAATAATGAAATACATCGCCTTCATAACCAGAATACACACAGTGTTTCGCCTGTTTGCCAACTCGATGAAACGATGTCCTTACCAACGCCATTATCATCATCGGTTAACCAATCACGGAGCACATCCCCGGTAATGGCGGCGTATATCGAACTTTCAAACTCTGTGTCGCCGTCGCCAACACTTCCCCAATCATCTGACGAAACCATAGCGACCCTATCACGTGAAACGAATACAAAATCCGGTCCCTGGACCGAACATATACCATTAAGCTCAAACGTGGCAATCCAATCCCCTTCCGATCCGCCATCACCAAGGACGCTCCATGTGACACATACGTCATCAATCCCACACCAAACTTCGACTGTCAGATTACCATTTTACGTAGCTGCCGACCAGGCAGTAAAAATGGAAACTAATTATTCGATAAAGCTCGAGTGTGCAGGGGGAACGGAGATTTCTAATTCACAGCATGTACAGAACGGATCTGTAAGTGGCATGGACGGGATTAAAAGAATGACATCTGACGATAGCGACATATCGACACGAACATTGAGTTCAGATTACAATACCCAGCTCTGTGTGACCATCGTCGCTCCCGTGACTGTCAATGAAATGCTGGACGGACCTCGGAAAAAGACAAAGCAAAAACGCGGCAAGAACCTACCATGCGCAGTGTGCGGAGACATGGCTCAGTGTTTTCACTATGGTGTGGCCGCATGTGAGGGCTGCAAGGGTTTTTTTAAGGTAATGACAAGTTACTGTTTAGTTGCGCCATCTAGCGGCGACGCACTGGTATGATGAGTAAATAATGCTGGAAAGCATGTATGTTGGTTCGGGTGGCAAAATATAGAAAGCGTCTAAAAGAAACAGCAGTAATGTTATACATGATGATCCGTTATTTTCAAAGGTTTACGTAACATCAAAACTTCTTTGCCAGAGGGTGCGGTGGGAGTTCTTTAATAATATACATATTATACAATTAAATTGGGGCGTTGGAGGGTTAAGGGTTATTAAGTCAACTTATCTCACAGGTTAATTCAGCGAGATACGTAGACGAGATGGTATGTTAAAAATTTTAAGAAAGCATCAAACTCGTATCGAATTTTCTAATTTCAGAGAACAGTACAAAAAAGTTCTCGATACCTGTGTTTGGAGAAGCAGAGTTGTCGAGTAGACAAACGAAGGAGGAACCACTGCCAGTATTGTCGATTTCAGAAATGCCTCGAGGTTGGAATGATGAAGGATGGTGAGTAGGAAATACGATATTCAGAGCGACAAAACAATACACATGATTGTTGATGTTGCGAATTTGGGATGCTGAATTGTTCGAGTTACGGACATCGAGTTACAAACATCGAGTTACAAAAACATCGAGTTACAAAAATGATCATGCCCATATTTTAGAAGCCGGGTCGGTCAACTGTTAATTAAAGTACGAGCTGTTAAATTCAGACGCTCAATAAAACAATCAAACAAACGCGAAGCTTTGTTAACTGGAAATTGAACATTGAGTTACGATTTGGGTGTAGTTTTGCAAAAGTGGGCGTGGTCATTTTTTAACCCGGTGTTTTCGTAACTCGGTGACCGTAACAATTCAGCATCTCAGCGGATTAAGGAAGAGCGCACACCAACACAGTAATCACGCGTATCCTATAATGCAATGGGACAATGACGTTTTTGTTTAACCAGTTTTCGAGAGTTCACGTCAAGCCATCATACACTCACGTAGGGCACTAGATATTTTTTGGCCTTGATTGTTTTGTTTCTTGCTATTAATAATCACCTACATAACTAACAATAACATTCAAAAGACTGAACACTTAACAAAGCATGCTGGGATGGTGCCAACATTGTATCGATCTATCGTCTTTACGCCGCTACACTGTTCGATATGCGACATGTACAAGACGTGCAAAATACGTTGTTTGTCGAATCATGCGGAATGCGCCTTGGTTTCTGATCCTTGTTACTGCTACTATTATAAAACTGAATTAAGGCTGCAATCTAATACTGTAAAATACTTATTTTTATCTGGAATTAATTTTCGCTGAAAAAACGTTTTGGGTGTTTTGTATGGATTTTATTTTCACTGAATCATTGCTTCAGTGAAAATAGCGAAAATAAAGTATTTTACAGTATACGACTTTTTTTTCAAATTGACAGTTGTTCGTAAGGATGGCTTGAAAGGACGTCGAGGGCGCCTGCCAAGCACCGACAGACGACAATCTCATGGAACGATTAACTCTCCGTCGTCGCCGATTAGTCTGATCACTCAGCTTGTCCGGGCATATCTTGATACCTCTCCGACAACGTCATCATTGGACTACAGTCAAGTGAGTATGACGTCACATATGACGTAATCAGCTTGTACTGAAAAATACAATATAGCAGTAATGTACACGTATTTTCATCAGTTTGAAACCACGCCATGATAATTATTTTTTCTTGCAGTTTCAAGAACCCCCGAAAGTAAAAACGGTGGAATGGAAAACCTCGATGTTGGTATCGAAACCGAGCGATCCCCATGAGAGATTACATCAATTCTATGACAACTTGTGCGCATCATTTCATTTAATCCGACTGTGGAGTGAGAAGATACCCGGATGGAATGATCTTCAACGCCAAGACAGAGACTTACTTTTACAGACAGCAACACTGGAAGTGTTTATACTTCGAGTCGCCTATAGGTACGTAAATGTACAGCCCGGGCCAATGAGTCCGGGCCGTTTTACAACGGCAAGTTGCGCCCTCTTTCGACGGGCGACAGAAACACACACCCAATACATACATGTGTAATCACCTACCACTTGTTACATTCCCTCAACACCGTTCAGCTTAGATAATTCAGTGGTAATGATTTGGATGATCTAATGAAACTAGTTGAGTCCCGAGTTTTGCGAATAGGAAAATGAAAATGTATTTCAAAATGGAGGAGAAGACGCACTCTAACTATCGAATCAAAGACAACTGTCTTTATGAGAGGACAACCTCGATCTGAAGCTCCGCTAGAACACTCTTTCTAGAGCTACCTGCGGGTTTGAATCTTTTTTGGTGATTAATCCCAGATAATTAAAATTGCCGCACAATATAATGAGGTGACGTCATATCCTCTAAGCTCTAACAACTATGTTACACAAGAATAGAAGGGTGGTTGGGGTATAAGTTCTTAAAACAGGAGGGTCGTCATCTGCGCACGCGCGGGAATTGAGTCCCAAGCGACGATAACAACACAGGCGCAAAACGCAAAGGCTCATAGGTAGAGGCTTGTTTGTAAACAGTGACACGCTATGGCCATCTGACGCATGAAATCATTTTCTCAATTTCTGACAACAGATTCTATGACGTCATACTTTACCCATAATCCTTTGCTTGAAAATCAAGATGGCTGACTACATAATACTGATGAAAAGTTGAATATCTAGAGAATGAAAAGTGATATAAAAAAACTGTAAATTGCATTCTCCTACATTTGTGGAGCTTTTTCTACAGGTGTCATTATGTTGTTTGGATTGATGTTTCCTTTAACATATTGAATAAAAAATGGTAAATCTTTTGCAGGTATCGCCCTATTAAACAACATGTCGTGTTTTGTAACGGTAAAGTTCATCATCGTTGCCAGGCAATGCTAGGATTTGGAGAGTGGCTGAACTACATCATCGATTTCTGTGAACAGGTACACAAGATGGATATCGATATCTCGACGTTTGCTTGCCTCAATGTTCTCACTTTAGTAACAGGTAAGTGAATACACGAGGTTCTGTGATGACGTCACTATCCGAATGCGTTATCCAAGCGGATTATGCACATGTCAACCATTTTGGTTTACCATCGTTCATATGTCATGTAATATAATCACTAAAGCAATCCAACACTTCGTCATTTACTACAAAATCATTATTTTGGTGAATAATTATTGTAAAATTTGTAACATTTTTTTTAATCATACACGCTTCATTTATACAATGGGATTTTATCACTCACAGTTACTAGTGATGACATAATAGGCCATTTGCCGTTTACTGCGAGATCTCGCGTTATGCGTGAAATCAAACGTAAAAACTGGACAAAGGTCATGGCGTCGTGGTGACAAACATCGCGTGGAATTCGACAAACGCGAAAGTATTTTGGGGTATATTTCCACGCTTAATACTGTGCTGTTCACATTTGATGATGGTGAATTTCAATGAAGTAAACGCAATATTCCCCTGTCAAAGATCGACCGTTCAATGTGAGCTACGAAATATAAAAGAAATTGGATTTGAAAATCAATTTTTGCGGCAGGCATTCAGCGCGCGTCTTTCACGCAACTTGCGAGATCTCGCAGTTGAACAGAAAATCACCTATTGTACGTACGTACGTTGGTTTGACGTCATGTCATGCATCCAATCGTCTTTACTGTGATAGTAACATTGTGGTATACTTATTCCAGAACGTCATGGACTAGAATATCCCAAGCAGGTTGAAATGCTACAAGACTCCATCATCGAGTCACTGCAGGACCACCTCATGAACAGTGCCGCTACTGAAAACAGGGATAACTACTTGTCGAAGTTGCTGTTATTGATCCCGGAACTGCGCACGCTCAGTAAACAGGGTCTACATCGCTTGTACTACCTCAAACTAGAGGGTGGCATTCCTGCCCCACCTATGGTGAATAAAATGTTCCAGCCCGATTTGCCATATTAGGATGGACGTCACGTCACGTATGCTATATTTGCACTGACAAAAGATTGCGTAATTCCGACTGGCGACTTTTTTTTCTGACGACGACTCTCACACTTTCTAATTTGTACATATTTATACGTAATTGAGTAAAAAATCAAAAGAATTACCTGAGCTGGGTCGCTTTAAAGCAGGGGAGTCGTCACCTGCGCATGCGTCAGATGGCCATGGCGTGTCATTGTAAACAAACAAGCGTTTACCCATGAGCCTTTGCGTTTTTAGCGTGTCTTGTTGTCATCGCTTGGGACTCAATTCCCGCGCGTGCGCAGGTGACGACGCTCCCGCTTTAAGTTATATCAGTACGGGATTACTACTGTATATGTTAACGCGAATGTAATTGATCATATTGGCGAAACACAGCTACCCATACTGCCAATGGTTTCTAGGAATGTAACTTCGGTCACATACTTGTGAACACTAAAGTTGTCACGTAACGCAAATTTCGTGTAAACAAACAAACGACGTTGAATCTGAGGTGTGAATCTGGACTCTCAACCACGCCATTAACGGCAGTAATCAGCCGAGGCTTGGAAAATGACAACTGAGAGGAACTTGAGTCTAAATGCCAAGAACTAATTAATTTTGCAATATATGAGGTTATTCATAATTGGCACAGCTTATTTTCGAGAAAATTATGGTTTTATTTTGAATTAGTGAATTGTTATTTTTTCAGTAACAGAACGTTTTTCACATCGGTTGCTATGATGGAGATGCCGTATCTCAAAGTGTAAGCCGGTGACATTGGGGGGGGGGGGGGTAACTAATATAACGTGACTTATGCGTTGCATTTAATTATCCAGAAATATTCCAAAAAAAAGTTACAAAAATGCTACTTAACTTTTTCGTTTTATGAAATTTTCAAATAACATTTGACTTTTTTTGTAACACTGTAACACTAAATAATTTTTGTATCATGGAAATAAAGATACGTGATTATAGAATAAACAAACGAATATATTTTTTAAGTTGTCATGCAATTTATTACATACTTTCTCAACAATTATGAGTAGGACTCTACCTTAATGAAATGGTATGCCAGAATGTTTTTAGTTTTTAAATCGGTCAGTAATTTATTGAAAAGTCATCTGCGGCTATAAAGCACAAAGTTTAAAAGAACCCCATTTTCCGAAATATTCACAAATAACACTATAATAGCCTCCCGTATATATCAAATCACTGGATGTGTACATTTTTTTTTTAGTTTTACACTAAACAAACAATCCAAACAACTCTATTGCGGCCGAGATTGATTTTGTCTCTACCTGCCTACTCGATCCCGACCGTTCACACACATTTGGATACATGCCGACCTGGTTCCAATGTTAAGTCGAGATTTCTAATGTGAACGCCATTATTGTATACTACTGCTAGACTAACATTAAATGGTTTAGGTGACTGATCATTAATTCTTGCGATCCCGGCATTCAAGATTTTAAAACCATATGATGCATGGATTTTGTCTTATTCGACAGGGTTGAGATCGTGTACATTTTTAATACACCAATAATGTCCTTATGAATATGTATGCTGCTCTGTTATATGGTGAACTTGATATAATTTAAAGACTTTCCGTTTTCGACATTGTGAAATTCTTTCGTTTTTTATGCAGAAAAATAGTGTTTTTCCAAGTAAAATCATATTCATTAAATTTATTGTTCATACATGAGTTGTTGAACACACTACATAGTTTGTAATTTTATTCAGCTTCTTTCAGTCATAATTCAAGACAAATAAAAAACAAAAATATAGGAATATAGCAAATTATCTTTTTTTGTAATATTTTTGTGTAATCGTTAATTATGAAAATTATTTATGAGTGGAATTATTCCTAATATAAATTTCTGAATAATCTTGTCAAGATCTTTTTTTTCAGATGCCCCCCCCCAAAAAAAAAAAACGAAATAATTTCACAATGTCGAAATCGTGAGGTCTTTATCGTAGTGTTTGCTATTTAGATTTGTGCCACGCTAATGTAGTCGGGTTATTTCTCGAATATTTGTGTGAAATCAATGTTCAGAGAAATAACCACTTGAAATAAGTCGCGCCCACTAAACGAAAATGCGCAACTGTGACGTCAGTTATAATGAGTAACGACAATGTCGTTCGAATAGACAGCTATGTGCGGTTGTGTAACCGTATGTCCGAGAATATAGCAACTACTAGAACGACAATATGCTTTTAATTGACAAGACTACACAGATCAAATCAATCGACGATGTGAATGACGTTCCTTAGCTCCGTTACGCCACTGAAGCTCTTCTTTTTTGACAAATTACGAAATGATTTGCGCGCGTGAACCAAACAATTCGTGAGGTTCCCGACCCATTCTTCTATATGTCCGTATGCCTGGGAATGATTTCCCGATTTAAGAGTTTAAAATTAATGATGTCACAAATTATGTGGGTAAAGTTGGTTGAGTTTTGCATTACAAATTTCGATGAAAAGGACACCGTATTCCAAATCCAAACATCCTAAATCTGAAATTAATATAGTAGTACACCATACAGTTTTAAACCTTTAAGTTCCAAAGATTTTATTCTATATTTTAACACCTTCAAGTTTGTGAAATATCATGTTTATTATTGGTCACCTAAAGAAAACTATGAAACATTAACAAACATTTATATATCCCCGAAATTATTTGTTGGAATATCAATTCACCTATTACTCGCAGAGGGCGCACTGCGAAATTAGTAGGCCAACAGCGCTACCACGTTCTGTATTTATTCAAAATAAAAAAAATGGGTACTGCAATTAAATGTTGATTTAATATTGGAATGATATTATATTGTTGAAGGTATGGAATTTTTGTTTAATACTCTTTAAACAATTATCTGTCACTATTACTATGTTATGAATGTGTTACTATGATTTTCACTTTACAAAGACTAAACAAAAAATACAAATGTATATTATTGTCTATGTTATGACGGAGACTTTGGATTTTCCCATTACACACGGTGTTCGCTTTTTCACCTACTCAGCAAGTTATATTTGTTTGTACGCTATATTCAACCGCCGATTTCTAAATAATAACATATTTACTTCATGTCAATAAACTAATTATATTATATATACTATTTTTTTCTGATTGTGTGTCATAATGTTAAATATCTGATGTGATGATCGAATGATGATGAGACAATTAGATAAGAAAACACATTGTGGTATATATTCTAGAAGGGAGAAGTGAACAAATTAACAGAAATATGATATTTATTATATAATTGTTAGCGTACGTTAATATTTACTTTAAAATATCCCCTGAAGTTGTTCTATTCGTGTTTTTTAATCCGCCAACTTGAAGTTAGCAGAGTTAAAAGAAAAATGAATTAAGTGGAAAAATTAATATAGCGATAGTAGTATAGCGATTGGCAAAAGGTCAAGTGACTTAAGTTAAAACATGAATCTGTTTCATATGTCAGACGATTCAGTAGCTTAGCCTTTCAAATTATTAATTATGACGTAGCAGCTGTCACATGGATATATAACCAGCTTTCTGCTAATAAATGTTACATTTCGTCTTTCTGCTAGCAAATAACGGTTGATTTCCGTATGTTTTGGATTGTTATTTTCACGAAGGGTAATAAACCAAATGAACATAAGAACTAGTTCTTGTGGCTATTATTTTAGCCCGTGTTCTAGTTAGTATGTGCATGATTAGTACATAACATTGTATGTGCATGGAGATCAAAAAGACATTTTA